TTTTCTAATGAGTCTGACAGAGGCTCAACAGTGGCTATCACCGAAATAGGTGACACCACTATATTTTGGTACAACTCATCCAACATTCATGTAGCTATTTTCACCTTTGATTTCTGTAGTATAGATCCCATGTGGTGCTATGATTGTAATCTATATGATCTTAACACAACGAGCATGTTCCGATAGTAGTGACCAGGTATACATATGTGTCATGGATGATTACTGGGGACCAAAAGATTAGAATCAGATTAGAAGGGATTTGGACTGGTGAGTGTGCCCTTGCAAAGGTCATTATGCCTCTCCACATCCTAGCAGAGAATACCCCTGACCCAATGCCTGGCCATAGGAGGAAACGAAAAGCTCCTTCTGGCAGTTTTGACCCACATGAGTATAGATGCTATTGGAGTCCCAAGGGGGGTGCCTAATAAATTTAATGCCAGAGACCAAGTAAAGCAGGCTTCGAATCCCTGATTCCCATGATAACTGTTAATAAAAATGTAGATTAGATAAATTACATATACTACAACCAACAGAGGTTTGTGAATTACACCAGGGATGCCCTTCAAGGAATCGTTGACCAGTTAGTCCCTACATCCTACATGACATTCCAGAATAGGATGGCTCTGGACATGATTTTAGCGGAAAAGGAGGTGTCTGTAAAATGATAGAAGGAACCGGAACATGTTGTACATATATTCCTGACAATACTGGCTTGAATGGTAAGATTACTCTGTCTATAAAGAAATTGGAAGATCTGTCAGTTGAGTTGAAAAAGAATTCAGGGATCACAGACTTGTGGGATCAATATTTCAGTTGGATGAGTGGTTGGCAAAAGATACTTGCCCAAATAGGGGTAACTGTACTAATAATTCTGATTCTCCTGGTCCTGGTTGCATGCTGTGTTATACCATGTGTGAGGAAATTGATGAGCAAAGCTGTATACAACAGAACACCTACCTTCCTGAACCAGGAGCAAGAGGATCTCCATATGGTAGATGAAGAAAAACCTTATACCCCATTACGGTCCCTCCCCGCCAATAGTAATCTCACAATTTTGTAGGGATAGCATCTGACTTCCTTATGTACAAAGTCTGTGGCAAGGGGGGTGATGAAATAGTCATCACCTGTCTAACGTACAGCATAAAAGAGTTCCAAGGTACATAAGGACAGATGAGGTAGGCTTTATAGGGACAGAGTAAAAATAGTCATTTTAAGGGGGGACTGTGATGGATTTGGTAAAATGCCTATTTAGTTTCCTATTGAATATATATATATACGCTATTTCTATAAGTTTTATAAATATTTACTTTTATACTTTAATATATATGTTGTGTGAATATTTTCTGCCTGCTGGGCTTTGTGGTACTATAAGAAATCCTTGCTTAAGAAATGTCTGCTCACACACACAGACCCCCTCCCACCGTGTGATTTGGGAAACAAAGGAATGTTTTTCTTCTCTATGAGATAAGGCCTGGAAGAAGATCACACCTATACCATGAAGGAGATTGTTTTCGTGTGGAAATGACCAATCAAAGACTAATATAATGCTTATGCTGTTGTCACATGACTCTCGCATCATTCTTCATATATAAGCTTATTTTCTCATTATAATAAACTAGAAGTGTTCATAGACTGAACTTGTGTGTCAGCGTGAGTCCCTTCCAATGTGCGCACATTTCAAAGCTAGCGTCATAAATTTGGACAGGAACAGATAAGCAGTGGACGATTTCAGTCACGACTAAATCATTGTGCGTTCAGAGATGGCATTCTGCATACTTTGGTTGTAATGAGCGATTATTTTAGTTACTGATACCTTTCTATCATCTTTAACCAGTCTGCCCATTCTCTCTCTGACATAAACAAGGCATTTTCATCCACTCACTGGATATTTTCCTTTTTCCAGACCATTCTCTGTAAACCCTAGAGATGGTTGTGCGTGAAAATCCCAGTAGATCATCAGTTTTTGAATTATTCAGACCAGCCCGTCTGGCACCAAAAACTATGCCACGTTCAAAGTCAATTAAATCCCCTTTCTTCCCCATTCTGAGGCTCGTAAGTCATCTGTTGTTGCCATGTGATTGGATGATTAGCAATTTGTGTTACAAAGCAACTGAACAGGTGTACCTAATAAAGGGTCCGGTGAGTGTATGTTTACACATTTACCATTTAAAAAAGCACAAAATTGAAAAAAAAACCAAAACACATTATTTAACTTGTAAACAATGTTGCAATGCTTTGTACCAGAATGATAATGCAGAATTTTCATTGAATTTCACACCATTAGTGGGCTGCAGAATTAGCCGATTTTCATGCAGCCATCAAATTTGAGTGATCCGGCATGTTGAAATTTTTTTTGAAAAACAAATGAATTACTAATCAATGATGGGAGAATCATGCAAGAAATATAATCAAAAAAGAACGAAGCGTGACCTGGAAGGAAAGAAGATTCCCAGCCATGAAAATTATTTTCTGTAGCAACATGAGGTGAAACTGATGGCTTGGTTTGTCGAATTTCGAAATGAATGGTGACACCATCGGATTACAAAAAGAACAACATTTCTGATTTTCTAAAGAAAATGAATTCAGAATTCGACCCATGTATGGCCCACCTAACTTTAGTGTCATTTTAACCACTTGAGATCCAGAAGGTTTTGCTCTCATTTATGACCAGGCCATTTTTTGCTATTTGGCACTGCGCTACTTTAACTGACAATTGCACTTTTGCATGCATAACTGTATGAAAATCAAATTTATATAATTTTTTTCACACAAATAGAGCTTTCTTTGGGTGTTATTTGGTCACCACTTGGTTTTTTGTTTTTTTTATATAAACGAACCAAAAAAAGATAAAGAATTAAAGACCAAAAATTTGGAAAAAAAACCCAATATTTTCTTTCTGTGATAAAACATATTCAGTATTTTTTTTAACTAAATTTCTTCATAAATTTAGGCCAAAATGTATTCTGCTACGTCTTTGGTAAAGAAAAAAAATCCCAAGTGCAAATTTTTATATATATATATAAACACACACATACATAAACACACACACATATATATATATATATATATCTGATACAGTGGGGCAAAAAAAAGTATTTAGTCAGCCACCAATTGTGCAAGTTCTCTCCCCACTTAAAAAGATGAGGGAGGCCTGTAATTGACATCATAGGGAACCTCAACTATGAGAGACAAAATGAGAAACAAAAATCCAGACAATCACATTGGCTGATTTAGAAAGAATTTATTTGCAAATTATGGTGGAAAATAAGTATTTGGTCAATATCAAAAGTTCATCTCAATACTTTGTTATGTATCCTTTGTTGGCAATGACAGAGGTCAAATGTTTCCTGTAAGTCTTCACAAGGTTGGCACACACTGTTGCTGGTATGTTGGCCCATCCCTCCATGCAGATCTCCTCTAGAGCAGTGATGTTTTGGGGCTGTCACTGGGCAACACAGACTTTCAACTCCCTCCAAAGGTTTTCTATGGGGTTGAGATCTGGAGACTGGCTAGGCCACTCCCGGACCTTGAAATGCTTCTTACGAAGCCACTCTTTCGTTGCCCGGGCGGTATGTTTGGGATCATTGTCATGTTGGAAGACCCAGCCACGTTTCATCTTCTATGCCCTTGCTGATGGAAGGAGGTTTGCACTCAAAATCTCACGATACATGGCCCCATTCATTCTGTCCTGTACATGGATCAGTCGTCCTGGTCCCTTTGCGGAGAAACAGCCCCAAAGCATGATGTTGCCACCCCCATGCTTCACAGTAGGTATGGTGTTCTTTGGATGCAACTCAGCATTCTCTCTCCTCCAAACACGACGAGTTGTGTTTCTACCAAACAGTTCTATTTTGGTTTTATCTGACCATATGATGACATTCTCCCAATCCTCTTCTGGATCATCCAAATGCTCTCTAGCAAACTTCAGACGGGGCCCGACATGTACTGGCTTAAGCAGGTGGACACGTCTGGCACTGCAGGATCTGAGTCCCTGGCGGCGTAGTGTGTTACTGATGGTAGCCTTTGTTACGTTGGTCCCAGCTCTCTGCAGGTCATTCACTAGGTCCCCCCGTGTGGTCCTGGGATTTTTGCTCACTGTTCTTGTGATCATTTTGACCCCACAGGGTGAGATCTTGTGTGGAGCCCCAGATCGAGGGAGATTATCAGTGGTCTTGTATGTCTTCCATTTTCTAATTATTGCTCCCACAGTTGATTTGTTCACACCAAGCTGCTTGCCTATTGCAGATTCAGTCTTCCCAGCCTGGTGCAGGTCTACAATTTTGTTTTTGCTGTCCTTCGGCAGCTCTTTGGTCTTCACCATAGTGGAGTTTGGAGTGTGACTGTTTGAACTTGTTATCAGTATAAAAGACACCTGTCCACAACCTCAAACAGGTGCCATTGATACAGGTAATGAGTTTAGGACAGAGGAGCCTTTTAAGAAGGTACAGGTCTGTGAGAGCCAGAAATCTTGCTTGTTTGTAGGTGACCAAATACTTATTTTCCACCATAATTTGCAAATACATTTTCTCTCCAAATCAGCCAATGTGATTGTCTGGATTTTTTTTTTTCTCATTTTGTCTCTCATAGTTGAGGTCTACCTATGATGCCAATTACAGGCCTCTCTCATCTTTTTAAGTGGGAGAACTTGCACAATAGGTGGCTGACTAAATACTTTTTTGCCCCACTGTATATATATATAAACACACATACATAAACACACATATACAGATATATATATATAAGAAAAGACAGACACACACACACACACATATATATATATATACACACATACATTATGATGCTATGCCGGTATTGGCGGTGATCAGAGACTTATAGTGGGACTGTAAAAATGTGGCGTGCAATCTGGTGCTAGCTGACACAGGCTGAGAGGTACACTGACTGACACTGACATCAATAGTGCCACTAATACAGTGATCAGTGCTAATTCTGTACACTGTCACTGTAACTAATGACGCTGGCTGAGAAAGGGTTAACATCAAGGGGCCAATTGTATGCCTAACAATGTGTAATGTGTGTTATATGTGCTGCTTTTACTTTACTGTATGGCTGTTTTTCTCCCTGCTTTGCAGGAAAAAAAAAAACAAAACAGGCATATCAGTGTTTCCTGTACACAGAGTTCTTTTAGTAAACACAGAACCCTGTGTGTGATTGGACACAGTTGATCAACTGATTTTAGCTGTAACCATTGGCTGAAACCAGTTGCCAAATTCATGCTGTGTCCAACCACAAGAAACTCTTCTGCTTTTTGCTGCATATGGGGGACTGGAGTGCGGGAACCTGTATGCGGTCTGATATTATAAGGGCTGTTTGGCAGGGAGGTCTATCTCATCAGGAAAGGAGACACCTAATTGGGGACGGTGGAGGGTATACCGGTGCAAGAATTTGGTGAAGAGTTTCTTGTTGTGAACACGGAGAATATTATCGATTTTTTTCCCTGAATATAAATCACGTATGTATTGGACTGTGTATGGGACTTAATTACGAATTGGACATTTATACATAATTGTTTAGTGTTGATGTCTAAATGTATTTTTCTATTGTGGTTATCGATGATATAGTAGAGCGCGTTGCTGCGTTAGTTAATATGATGTTCACATGTGTGGTGATTGCACTGCCAGGTTGTAGCAGCTCTGCAATTCCAAAACTGTTTTCTATTTTCACATTTTTTCTCTATTTTTTTTTATTTGCTTTCCTTTTATTATTTTTGATACTTTTTTGTTTGAGCACAGTAATAACATGGGGATCACTATTTATTTTATATTTGTTATCACATCTTAAGTAATGACAAAAGGTATTGCCGAATGAACAGGTCCATAACAGAGATATAAAAATTGCTCATCTCCATAGGGGGTGAACAGGTGTGAAAGATGAAGTAGTTAAGATATATCAACTAGCTGAAGACACTGGATGTGCTGCACATGCCCATAAAAAAACATCATCAAAGTACACAGGACATGTGTAGCACATCCAGTCCTTCTATCCCTCTGCCCCCTTCCAATTGCTGGCCATTCTAGGTTCTAAAAATGAAAAGAAAAAAAGCTGTCCGTTTATCAACATTGTTCAGATGCAAAAATAGACAGATTTATTTATTTATTTCAGGTACTTATATAGCGCTGTCAATTTACGCAGCGCTTTACATATATATTGTACATTCACATCAGTCCCTAACCCTCAAGGGGTGTACAATCTAAGGTCCCTAATTCACATTCATACATAAGACAGATACAATATAACAGTATTACTTTTGTACCTACTACATTTTAGTGCTCGGTCACACCGAATCAGACTTTGAAATCGTGCAACTTCACTTAAAGTCGCACGATTTCAAAGTTGGATGTCAGTGCGACTTCAGGTGCAACTTGTAAGAAATCTGTGCGACTTGTATAGGCACATGTGTCTATGCAAGTTGCCCCTGAACTTGCAAAAAGTAGTGCATGCACTGATTTCAAAATTGGTGCAACTCTGATGAAGTCGGAATCGCACCAATTTGACGGCTTCAATTGCAGACAATAGGGTGTGACTTGTCATGTTGATTTGAAACTATCAAATTCCATGACAAGTCACAATGATATGACCGGGGTCTTACCCTAGGTTCACATCTATGCGGGTGGTGCCGCTGCAGATCCGCGCGAAAATCCGTGCAGCCGCACCACCCACACAGAGAATTGCGGACCCGTAGGCAGGTGCCATTATTTCTAATGGCACGCCGCCCGCACTGGGAAACGTAACCGTAGTGGGAACCGAGGGTCCCGTGAGGGCTGCGTTTACCAAAAAAGTGCAGGGACTTCTTTCCCTGCGTGAATGAATGGGCTCTTGTGCCCGAGCAAAACGCGTCGCGCACGGCCGCATATGTGTGAACCGGGGGTTAGGGCTGATTCACAATGTAAGGAGTGCTACTGCAGCACTTTACTTCAGCGAAAGCTCTCTGTCGCCAGCTGCCCTAGGGGGTAGTGTGGTGCGCGAATCAGCGCATTGTACTGCTGACCCTGCATTCACTATATCTGATCTCCCAGGACCCTGCATTCACTATATCTGGTCTTCCAGGACCCTGCATTCACTATATCTGGTCTTCCAGGTCCCTGCATTCTCTATATCTGGTCTCCCAGGACCCTGCATTCACTATATCTGGTCTCCCAGGACCCTGCATTCACTAGATCTGGTCTCCCAGGGCCCTGCATTCACTATATCTGATCTCCTAGGACCCTTCATTCACTATATCTGGTCTCCCAGGACCCCGCATTTACTATATCTGGTCTCCGAGGCCCCTGCATTCACTGTATCTGGCCTCCCACAGTACACAGAACATGAAAATGCTATTATTTTCATAAATACAAACTGCTAAATACCTTTCCTCATCAGCTGTATATAGCAGTCTTGTGACTTCTATCAGTGTCCAGCAGAGCACTAGTTAAAGCCTGTAGGAGGATTGTTCTATGAGGCTGCAGGACCCCTGACCCTCTGTCTGAACCGCGCCAATTGGCCCTGTGCTGATAACATGCACTCTCCCAAAAAAAAAAAAACTCTAGCAATACACACCAAAGGGATCATGTGCAGCTTACCCTCAAGGCTTTGTTCTATTAGCAGATGGATTGGGGACAGTAGAAGGGGAGCATCAAAGAAGACAGGATCAAACATCCTTTTTACACAATGCAGAGGATTATTAACCCCTTAGATTCCACAGTGAGTATAACAAGCATGCTTTACTGCATATACAGACTGATTTTACTGTTGTAGTTTTAGTAACACTTTAGGTAACCCCTAAGGTCTTGTTCCTCCTCAAGCCTGTGTCTGGACAGTGAAAGGGGAAAGCGGCACAGTAAGGAGCTCATCTCTCTATTACTATGCTCTCTCCTCTCATCAACAAGACCTTGTTAATATAGAAGTATTGCAATATAATTGATTGGCATCTTGTGCTGCTTCACCCTCTCCCAGTCTGCACTCTGCTGTACAGGGGGATTGCAAGAGGCCAAATTCAAGTATTTACACTGCCTATATTTGAAATTTAAAAAAAAAATCTGATGCATAAATAAATACAGAGCTGCCATAATATACAGAATTTACATCTCCCAAAGTTTAGTTTCAACTTATCACCTTTGAGCATTGTAGGAATCTACAAAATATGATATGGATGACAGAGACCAGAATCAGCTCGAGTATCCCGTCTGCGACACCAAACAAGGAATTTAGCAGCCCAAAAATCATTATTACATCAACACTTTGGATGGTTGGAATTGTTCCCCAACTTTCTAATGACCATGCTGGAATTCCGTATTAGTCCCGAGCCTCCGTTTCATCAAGACAGTCAAGGCCGTCATCTTTCAAAGACATTCAACGTCAACAGTTCTGATTGTCCCACAGTTTGGACAGAAGTTTTTGGAGAGAGGTTGCACTGATCCATTTGGTCCGATCCATAAGGGCCCATTGACAGTTTTACGTGTTCTTTTTTTTTTTTCTTTTTTGTGGCACGGTGACACAATTTGTATGAAACTTGCCTATCCAAGGTCACGTGTGCCCTCCAAAAGGATTCATAGGATAACAAATACTCACCTATTTTATTCCAGCTCCCCGTAAGGGCAAATGGACCTGAGTTTCAGTGCATTGTAAGGCCGTGTTAGGCCATGTGTGTTATTTATTACGTGTTGTTTTCTCCGTGTATGTGTGCTGCATGGCAATGCACCCTATAGCACATACCGGTTAACCCCCTCCCGTCCGGCTGTTGTATATAAACGGCCGGACGGTGGCAGTGCAGAGGTGGGTGGCTGTTTATAAACGGCCTCCCCGCTCCCTGATTGTGCGCGTTCTTTGGGACACAGTGGAACACTAATCATTGTACGGGAACTCGCAGAGATTGGCCAATCAGTGATCACATGCAGAGTAGTAAGCAAGATGTCACTTCTGACATCATTGCTTACTACGTGTGAAATCTGTGAATGATCACAGAGATCACATGGTACAAGGCTATTCACAACAGCCTTGTACCATGTGACAAGCTGTGACCAATCACAGCTCACACAGTACTTCTCAAAGGCTGCAAGAGAGAAGGAGAAATGATTGCTTTTACAGCCTTTATGGGTGTAAAAGCAATCAATGTAAAAAAAAAAAATATATATTCATCGCCCCCCACAAGTAGTACAGTGTCACCATGGTAACACTGTACTGCTAGGGTGACAGTATGTAAAAAAAAAGCAAAAAAACAAAAACATAAATAATAATAAAAACGTAAACAAAAGTTTTAAAATTATAATTTTTTGGTTATAAACTAATTTTGGTTATTTTGTTTTTACTCAAAAGATAACGGAATACATTTTGGCCAAGATTTATGATGAAATATTATTTATTTTCAAAATCTTATAAGAAAAAAATTTTTTTCAAAATTTTTGGACTTTTTCCATTTACATAGCAAAAAAAAATAAAAATCCCAGCGGTGAATAATACCACCAAAATAAAGCTTTATTTGTCTCAAGAAAATGCTAAAAAAATTCATATGGGTACAGTGTTGCATGACCGCGCAATTGTCATTCAAAGTGTGATAGCACAGAAAGCTGAAAATTTACCGGGACAGGAAGAAGGGGGTAAAAGTGTCCGGAAATGAAGTGGTTAAGGTGCATAGAAACAGGCTGCAACCCACATACACAAAGGATGCGTTCAGCCTCAAGGCGGATAAAAGTAGTTATAAAACCTAAACATTTTTTTACCTTAATGCATTCCCTGGTATCACCCCCTCACCCCCCTTATACTTACCTGAGCCTGATCTCGATCCAGCGCTGTGCCTGTCTGCAGCGGCTCTCTACTCTTCTTCCCGCTTTCACAGGCTTTGCCGAGAGCAGCAGGTTTCATTGGCTCTCGCTGCTGTCACTCATATCCTGTGAAGAGGGAATGGAGGGCGGGGCCCCGCATCACTGTCTGTGTCTATAGACGCAGGCAGCGTGCGCTTGGGAATTCTGCCCACAGGTGTGCCACAAGCAGCTTCCTATGGTGGCACACTGAGAAGTGGAAGAGCCAGGAGCACCAGCAGGGGGCCCCAGAGGAGGAAGGTCCCATTGCACAGAGCAGGTAGCTATAATATGTTTGCTATTTAAAAAAAAAAAAAAATGTTACAAATGCGTTAAAATTTGCTAAAATTGACTTGGCCAGTAATACTCGATTCAGACTCCCATAAACAAAAACCTTCTTGGTTTCACTACTCATCTAAGTGGTTTCCTCAGTACTAATATGTCAAAATACCCACATGGACCACTCAGTCCTTTTAAAGCAGGCATTGGCTATCCCCGACGCATGTGCCCAGGCAAGAAAACAATGCTGTTTGTGTCGGCATCTGCTGTCATTGGCTGCAAACTGACAGCTCACTAGGCGACCATTTACAAAGTCTGAGCCCACCCACCTCCCTGTGGTCACTAAAAGCCCATCAACATCTACAGGAGGTACCCTGCTTTCCTAAAGGTAAAGGGTCTGATATGAAGAGTGAAGGTGCAGGAATTGGGTTGCAGTAGGAAAGTGTAGAAATTGGGGTGATCTGATGAGGCAAGACGATGCAGGAATGGGGTGATCTGAGGTGTGAAGGTGCAGGAACTGGGGTGATCTGAGGTGTGAAGGTACAGGAATTGGGGTGATCTGAGGTGTGAAGGTGCAGGAATTGGGGTGATTTGAGGAGTGAAGGTGCAGGAATTGGGGTGATCTGAGGTGTGATAGTGCAGGAACTGGGGTGATCTGAGGTGTGAAAGTGCAGAAATTGGGCTGATCTGAAGTGTGAAGGTGCAGGAATTGGGGTGATCTGAAGTGTGAAGGTGCAGGAATTTGAATGATCTCAGGGGTGAAGGTTCAGGAATTGGGGTGATCTCAGGGGTGAAGGTGCAGGGATTGGAATTATCTCAGGGGTGAAGGTGCAAGGATTGGAATGATCTCGGGTGAAGGTACAGGAACTGGGTCCAATCTGAGGCGAGAAGGTGCAGGAATTGGGGTGCTCTGAGGTGTGAAGGTGCAGGAATTGGGGATGATCTGAAGTTTATACATTGGGACTGATCTGAGGTATGAAGGTGCAGGAATTGGGGCGAAGTGTGAAGGTGAAGGAATTGGGGTCATCTGAGGAGTAAAGGTGCAGGAAGTGGGGTGATCTGAGGTGTAAAGGTACAGGAATTAGGGTGATCTGAGGAGTAAAGGTGCAGGAATTGGGGTCATCTGAGGAGTAAAGGTGCAGCAAGTGGGGTGATCTGAGGAGTAAAGGTGCAGGAATTGGATCTGATCTGCGACGTGAAGGTTCAGGAATTTGGGGAGTGTCTTAAATTTGAAGTTTATACGTTGGGGCGATCTGAGGTGTGAAGGTGCAGGAACTGGGGCGATCTGAGGATTGAAGTTTATATATATTGGGCTGATCTGAGATCTTAAGTGCATGAATTTGGGCTGAACATGTTTTGTGTGTTCACCATCTAGTCAATGTTTGCACACATAGCTGTACTGCTAATGACAACTAAAGAGTGCAATAAAATTGAAAACAAACCAAAACATACTATTGTTCACTGGAAGAAGCAGTCCCCAATATCAGACACGAAAGAACGTGGAAGTGAAGGTGGAATATGAACGTTGACTTCCATTTTCCTAGGAGTACTGGGGATAAGTAGGAGACGGGAAACCCTCCATATTAGTACATGTCCTTGCTCAGAGTTATGGGAGAGGAGAGGCAAAAAAGAAACCCAAAAACAAAACACTCAAAACACCAATGACAAGACATTCTTGGAAACCAACTGTGAGTGGTTTTAATAGGAGGGGGAGCATTATACAACTCTAAACCACATAAGTCTGTGGGAGTCAACCTGCCCTCCACACCTACTGCTGAGCAAGGGAAAATAAGTTCTCATGTACAAAAACATCAAAGAGAGTAAAAACAATTATTAGGGGGAAATTGAACCTCTGCACTATGGAAAATATAATCACAAAAAAAACTGCAACGAACTGACATGGTTGAATGGGCCCTAAAGGATGATTTTAACATTTACTCAGAGATCCCCTTCAAAGGAAACTAGTCACTGCCCCAGAAAAAACATGCAGCCAGTGAAAATAATGAAGTTCAAAAGCCCTCGGACTTCCATACGTGCACTTCTTCAAATCACTGCAAGCTTCAAGACTTTCCCCACCTCCTGCTTGACCCTGACCAGCTAGTGCCCATTATGAGAATCTTCCAAAAGATGGGAAGAAAGGACTTCCAACTCCCAAGTTAGATTCCTGAACCACAAAGCCAGGTATAGTCTGGTCCTTGGCGTCAACCAATCACCCTGTCCAGAGACCAGACTTGCTTGTCCAACTATGACAGAAAAGTACATAGGAGATGTCTGGAGTGAAATTGGGCAA